TGTGTGTGTGTGTGTGTGTGTGTGTGTTAAATGAGGCATGAGAGCTGAAGGCCTGCTGAATGCACAGCCAGCAACTCTGAGGTCTTAACGTACCTCACACTCGGTTCAGGACCCAAAACCCTTAATCAGCACATAAACCCTCCTTCCCTTGTTAATATCTCATCCTGTCAACCCATAATGAGCCATAATAGCCCACTTGGCATAATCCGGGGGGGGGGAGAGTTCTGCTCTTGGAAATGCTGAGCTCTTTGGAAAGTTCAGCTTTTTAAAAACCTTCCCAATTTCCGTTCTTCGTCGCCATGTCACGCCGCAATCGAATGGGGTGGAAGAAGGGCTTTGCTTTGTTTGAATTAATGCCCCTCAGTATCTAAGGCGCGCTTTTCCTAGATACTTGCAGGTGCTTCACAACCCTTACCGCAGCCACTCAATCGTTTTAATTACCAATTAACGTCTTTTCAAAGGTGTGGGATTCCACCACATGAAAGCCCCGCAGAAGCCCCCTTTTCAGTGGTTAACACCCAGCATGGAGGGGCACCTTCTCACCCAGGGTTCATGGACTCCCCAGCTTGACTTGTCAGAAAAAATATCTTGTTCTCAATTAGCGTGATGCTTCATCAAGAGTCTTTGGGGAGGGAAGCTCTCCCATCACGAGGCAGCTGATCTGAAGAGGCAACTATGCTCAGATCTTCATGCTGGTTTTTTTAAAATGAAACTTAATGTTCTGCCTCGAGAACAAGGAGCCGTGGGCTGTCCAGATCCTTTGGGGGCTACAGCACCTAAAAACCCCTTTAGGTGTTGGGCACATGGGCTGCATCTGTTGGGAATCCTAAGCAGAATAAATGGGCAGGCCAACCATTTCTCAGCCCGTCCTGCCTCCTTGCTCACTTCTTTCTCTCTCACACACAGAATCGAGGCACAGGGAAGGGAAGGGTGGCGAATCAAGGCGAAAAGGACTCCTCAGAAGCCCATTCCAGCCCTTCTACGTCCTTTGCGGTCTGATAAATGCTGTAATCTTTCAGGAGTCACAGGACTCTTTCCTTTCTGCCGCATTTTCAGGGCTCTTAATAGACCGCTCCACAGGTCACACGGGATCTGGGATTCCCTCGGCACCGACTGCTCAGGATCTTGGCCCATCTCAGCAACCAGACTGGCAACTGGGGCTGCTCACAGGAATCCCAGAACCCTTTCCGGCTGCCATTACGCTTCCAGGCACAATTCAAAGGACTGATCCTAGCCTACACAGCCCTAAGCTGCTTGGGTCCAAGCGATTTCAAGGACCATGTCTCCCATTATGAACCTGCCTGGCTGATAAGATCACCAGGAGAGATCTTTATCTCAGTCCCACCATCTTCACACAGGAGAAGGCCTTCTCTGTTGCTACTTCTAGACTTCGGAATTCCCTCCCACGGGAGGCCAGGCGGCCTTTCTGCAACCGGGCCAAGATCCTTTCTCTTCCAGCAAAAGCCTTCCCTTCATGACTGACTGGGTTGCTGGAGTGTGGGGAGTGGGTGGGGGTTTCCTAAATGGATTATGGGGCCTTCCTGCTTCGAATGTGTTTGGATGTTGCCTCTGTGAACCACCTTCTACTTTTACATGCGTTTGATGCTTTTTAGCCTTTGTAAACTTATTGTTTTTAGCTTTAAATGTTCTCTTTGAATGACGTTAAGCCGCCTTAGGTCCTTCTTAAGGAGAACGGCAGGGTAGAAATGAATGAATGAATAAATAAATGCAATCCTGCTGAAAGAGACCACCCTGACACAATGCCCCTCACATCTGCCTCACATCCCAAACTGCTCAGTCAAGTCCTCCCAGTGCTGAGGTGTGCTATCTCTCCACAGCACCGATTTGGGCTCATCTTCCTCTATGCCGTCTCTAGCAGCATAAATATGAAGCGCTCTGCCGGTCAGGTGACATCAGATCAGCAACATCGTTCCCTCTTTTCCTAGGCCTGCCCGATTCCATGTACAGTTTCACACTTTGCATGACACACTGACATACCAGGGGTGACCTCACAGAATGATGCGCCTGCTTTTTTACCCACACACCGTACCTCTACAACACAAGAGTCTGACACTTCACACAGGGAAGGTTGCATCACTCGCCCATGTGCACCAGCGACTTGCACGGAAACGTTTCCTAAAGTGACAGCAGGCCCTTGCCCCCCCCATGTAGCAGAGGGATGACCCCCCCCTTGCTGGGCAAGTTTGCTACAGACCCATTTATGTATGCAAATGCAATCATGCACAAAAAGAAGGGCTGACCCTGCTGGCAGAGAGGGTGAGGCAACTGCCCCAGGCGTCAGATTTTGGGTGCGAGAAAAGGACAGCCAAATGGTTAATTTATGGATGAACAGGAAGGTTGAGATGAAAAGTCTAGGATTTTCTAGAGCAGGTGCCAAAAATAACTTGGCGGGTCGCCCCGGGCCCTGTGCACCTTGTGGGGCAGGAGGGGGTTGTCCTTGCTGTCTTGTCTCAGGCAGCAAGATGTTTTGGGTCAGCGCTGACTGCTCTGATCACAAAACCAGGCCCTTGGCCACTGCTTCTCATCCCCCTGACTGGACGCTTCCTGTGAGGCTTTCCACATCAAATCTGCATTTTTCCACATCATTTCAGAAACACAATGCCAAGAATCTAATACAGTACCCCCCCCACTCCTTTATGCAATTTTAGGATTGAACAGAAACAGGCTTGCAGGTGAGATCCACGCACCTCTTCCCCCCTGCACAGGCTCCCCCTTTTGCAATCGATGCACATTCACCCCAGTGCATTTGCACTCCCGACCTCAACATGAAACTGCAACCAGGGGGCAACATCACACACACACACACGCATGCATGCACGCATGCACACACTTCTATTTTGTGCACATTCTGTGCACCCTCTTTGCACCGCCTCGCCTTGACAAGCTCTCAGCATGCACACTGCCACCAACAACAACAACGGCCATGCACACGTCTGAGTGCACACACGTCTGCCTGGGATGCCCCAAAGAATGTGGCCCTTGCAGATCATTAAATAAAAACAAGGCGCCATTCCAGAACACACACCGATCAGAGCGCTTCTTCCCTCCCCCACTCCCGCCGCCAGCACACGAGCCATGGCTGGCAAAAACAACAACCAGCCCCCCCACCTCGTGCCCACCTAAAGAGCCACACCGCGCACAGATACATACGAGCACAGAGTGCGCATTCACACAACCATCACCCCGAAACGCGCCGTCACCTGTTTTCTCCGAAGACATCGCTGCTGCTACTGCTGGTGTGTCGTCCGCCAAGTGCCTATGTTGGGGGTGAAGCGACCCAGCGTGGTGCTGATTATGATGATGATGATGGGGGGTGGGAGATCTCTGCGTCACACACACACCCGACTCCACCAGCCTCCCTCCCTGCTCTACGGTCTGCCTCTGGTTCCTCCCACCCACCCTGGACCCGATCTCGCCACGCGGGGTCTAGCTCAGCGTTCCTGCCCAGAGCCGCTTCCCGACGACCGGGCGAGAGGAAGGCAGGGACAGACGCACCGGCGGCGAGGTGGAAGTGGGGCGGGGAGCTGTGGGGAGGGGGGGGAATGGAGACGCAAGCCCAGCACACCCGATCTAGCCCTCAACCTCCCCTCCCCACGCGATGCCTTTCACTCGCAAACCACCATTCCCGATTTCGGGATCCCGTGCATCAAATTTCGCGTGCACGGTTCTCCTAGCTGGCCGGTTAGCTCCGTGGGTTTCGGGATCTGGCTGCGCAGTCCGAGGTTGCGAGTTCGATTCCTGACTGGGCCTCCTGGGAGACGAGCCAGTGTGGGTGTCCTTGGCTGCACAGTCCCGGGGCGCCCCTAGAAAAAAGGGAAGGGTAACCCACTTATGAGCACTGAACCCCTTTTCTGGGTTTTCTACTGCCACCGTCAGTCAGAACTGACTTGCTGGCACCTGAAGAAAGATTCACGCGGATTCACACGACCGTCTTTTCCTCTGGGCAAAGAGACCCAACCGTCCCCAGGAAACGGTGTATGGTGTGTCCATAAGCAACGTGAGGGTAGTAGGTAAAACAAAGGGGATCCCCCGCCTGCCCCTATGACAAATATATTTTACAACCCTTTAGGTGCTTTACTCTTGAGGGAAAATGTAATGTGTGAATTGTTGTTGTTGTTTAGTCGTTAAGTCGTGTCTTCGTGACCCCATGGACCAGAGCAGGCCAGGCCCTCCTGTCTAATAGGGACATTACAGATAAACCAACTATGATGCCCAGCATTGTGGAAGCTGCCAAGAGCACCGCTGGCTGTTTTCCCAGTTTAGGTTTGTCCACACTGCCTGCCTGCGCATCAAGGGAAGCAGGAGACGGCGGCGTATGTCTGTTGTATGTTTAACGCAAGGATGGGGACCTTCAAGCAGATCCTAAAAGCCTCAAACCAGCATAGCTACAGTTAAGGAATCAGGGGAGTTGTTTTAACCCAAACATCTGAAGGATCAAAGGCTCCACAATCCCGATTTACAGCATGTATGTCCTGACATCATCTTCCAGTGAAAGCAAATTGTATGCTGGATGATATTTTACCGGGGCAGCTTTTTATAAAAAGGGGACAGAATTGTGTACAAGTTTTCAGGGTTAGTAACCGAGCAAATAGATCCACCGCTGACATGGTATTCTCCCTCCGACAGTTGCAGGAGAAATGCAGGGAACAACAACAGCCGCTCTTAGTGGCCTTCATAGACCTTACAAAAGCATTTGACTTGGTTAGCAGGGATGGCCTTTTAAAAATACTTCCCAAGATTGGATGTCCACCTCGTCTCCTTAACATCATCAGGAGCTGCAACCGAGGGCGTCTATCTCCGGACTAGATCAGATGGAAAGCTCTTTAATCTCTCTAGATTGAGAGCAAAGACCAAAGTTCAGCTGAAATGCATGCGGGACTTCCTCTTCGCCAGTGATGCAGCCATTGTTGCCCACTCTGCCGAAGGCCTCCAACAACTCATGAATCGTTTTAGCAAGGCCTGCCAAGACTTTAGACTATCAGCCTGAAGAAAACACAAGTCATGGGCCAGGGCGTGGACTCTGGCAGGACAAAGTTCCAAATAGAGTAGTCTTAGATGGAGCTGGAATTTTTAGCATGTATACACTACTGAAACAGCAACGCCTATGTTGGCTTGGGCATGTTGCAAGAATGGCTGATGGTCAAATTCCAAAGGATCTCCTGTATGGAGAATTAGTGCAGGGAAATTGCCCCAGAGGGAGACCACAGCCGCGATACAAGGATATCTGCAAGCGGGATTTGAAGGCCTTGGAAATGGATCTCAACAGATGGGAAACCCTGACATCTGAGTGTTCAGCCTGGAGGCATGCGGTGCATCACGGCCTCTCCCAATTTGAAGAGACCCTCGCCCAGCAGGCTGAGGCAAAGAGGCAGTCACGAAAGCAGCAAAATCAGGGAGCTAGACGGGGTACAGATTGTATTTGTCCTAAGTGTGGAAGGGATTGTCACTCTTGAATTGGCCTCCTCAGCCACACTAGACGCTGTTCCAAGTCCTTCATGCAGAGCACGATACCATAGTCTCTGAAGACTGAAGGATGCCTATGAACCCCTTTCTCTATAGCCAGTATGGTGTAGTGAAAAGAGTCATGGATTAGGACTCAGGGGGTCTGGGTTCAAATCCCCACTCAGCCATGGAAACTCACTGGGGGGAATGGAACTGGTAAAACATGGTCTAGAGGGGTGGGGTAAAAATCTAATCAATCAATCAATCAATCAATCAATCAATCAATCAATCAATCAATCAATCAATCAATCAATCAATCAATCAATAAATAATTTTTTAAAAAACATTCCTTGCCAATTTGTTCTAGGTAAATATTTGTGTTTATGTTGGAGGAGAGAATCCACACAGTTAATTCATGAATAGCATACATTGGACTGATATTTTATGGTTTAAAGATTCCACATGTGGAGGTGATTCTTCTATGTGTCGAATTTTTATCTGAATTTGAATTCAAAGGCACAGTTGAACTTTGCAATTCTACACACAACCACCTGCCAGAAGTGTCTAGCCATTGTGGCAAATGATGAGCCAATGCTAAACCTCTCCCGTGAATTATCCAGATACAAACTTGAGATTTGAGAAACCATGTAATTTTGGTGACAGCTCATATCAGTTGACAAATTCCTTCGCTTTTTCGATATTACTCTCTCTCCACACACAAAAACATACACAGAGTACTCAACAGTATCAATATAAAAAAGTCACACAAGCTGAGAGGAGGGAAAATGTGTAACCTGCATAATTAAATTGTAAAGCCCAGAAAGATCTCCATATCATGTTGTGTGCTGATTGGCATAGACATTGCGAACAACAGATAACGTCTGTGGAGATTTCCAACTAAAAGGCAAATTTGCATCTAAAAGTTAACCTTATTTGCATAACTGTGCAACAAGATTTCAGCTCATTTATGCCAATTTATTTTGAATCAAAAGTTCTGTGCAGGCGTAATGGATTTTCCCAATTCTTTCTGGGAAAGTTTAAGTGTGAAGGCAAGAGGAGAAAGGGACGACAGAGCACAAGATGGATGGACAGTGTCACCGAAGCTACCAACATAAATTTGACCCGACTCTGGGAGGCAGTGGAAGACAGGAGGGCCTGGCGTGCTCTGGTCCATGGGGCCATGAAGAGAAGGACATGAATAAATGACTAAACAACAACAACAGATATTTCTTTAAAACCAAAATAAACATTGTGCAGATGAGAAGGTGACTGAAATGGCCGAGGATTCATAATTAAGTGTATGGAAATATAAGTCAAATAGCAAGGGAGGAACACGAGATGGGCTGTGTGATATTTGAGAAAGGATGCTGAGTTAATGCCCATCTCAAGATAAGAGACTGAATTCTGATTTAACGTTAATTAGACGAGGGCTCCGAAGTAATGTAGAGGTCATGAGTGTGCCATGTCTTCTTTTAAGACAGATGAGTGAGAGTCAGCTGCTAAACCATCTCTGATCTTATCACCCAAAGGTACTGGCATATGGAAAAATCATCCACCATCGGTAAAACATGACATGTGTGGGACCAGGGAATGCTGCAAATCACTTTAGGTTGTGAAGCATGCATCTTGTTCATCAAGCAAAGGCTTGGCTTTTGCGTTTAAAGGGTTACCAAATGAGAAGGTGTCACCTCGAATACTGGAAAATGACAGGACCACTTCAGAGAACCAATGCCAATAAAGGTGCCCTAGTTAGAAATTAATTATTTGGAAACAGATTCATTAGCATCAGCTGTAGTGATTTTAAAGCTTTTGTCTGGAGATAGGGAATTGTGAAATATTTCTTATATATGAAAGTGGACGTAAATCAGGTCAGAGGGTGTAATCTGAAAACCGATCAGTACGCCCGGACGAAGAGATCGGGTTAGAAGGCTCTCTGATTGGACAGGGACCAGTGTCATCCCTCACCTTGAGAGAATCTTGGAAACGGCTGTCAGCTCAACAAGGGAACCTTTGACTGAGGCTGTTCTGGTTTGGACACATCATGAAAAAGGAGGGTTATCTGGATAAGACAATCACGCTGGGAAAAGTGGGAGGCAGCAGGAAAATAGACCAAATACGAGACCGACTGACTCCCTAAAGGAAGTGACAGTAAGTGCTGAGCAAGGCAGTTGGGGATTTGATGGCACATAACAATAGCAACAGCGTCTTCACCTTCTAAGAGCCCCCTTTTCCTTCCTCTTCAGGTACGTTCCTCAGGAAAATTAGCTGCTGTCTTCGGTGGTGACTTACACAGGCAGACCAAGGTGAGGTGCCCTTCACCCCACCCAGTGCCTGGACTGTCCAACCATCAGCTTATAGACCCTTTGGTGCCGTTTCCTGAGGTCCTTCGCCATCCAGTAGCCGCTTAAATTGTCATTGGCAGTACCAGCAGTGAAGTTGGGTTGGACGTAGCCTCAGCCACACCCACCGGAACCTTTTCTCCTTCCTTCAGGGGCAACTCTTCACCTGACCCACCCAATTCTTCAGAGGTAGTCCTGGATCCTGTTCCTGCCACCTTCTGGGGAAGTGAAACTAGCAAAAACAGGAGACCCGGATTTGTCATCGCTCCTTTCTGGAGCATCAACCCACTCTTTAATCTTGTGGCCTTCCTCCTTCTTGCATCCAACCTGGTCCTCTCTCTCCTGGCTCCAAACGTTTCAGCAGGAGGGCTGCATCATATATACTCCACATTTTTGAGGGTCGAGGACGCGTACATGTGCACTCCTGCCCCTCCCACTGGCCCCCCGCACGCCCACATATGTGCCTGCCTGCCCACACAAAAAAGCAATGCAGGCCAGATGTGGCCCGTGGGCCCATAGTTTGGAGACCCCTGGTCAACAAGATACCCTTGTGTGCTCACTAATTTCTTCTAGGCATTCTGATACCTAGACAAGTTGTTAAAAAACAGCCCTGACAATTGTTTTGTGTTTGGGTGAGAAGTGACTAAATGATGAAAAAAAAAGGAGTCAAGCTTTGCGACTGGTAGCCTTGTTTCAAAGGTTCTAATTTTTCGTTTGAGTTGCTCCATTTTTAGAATTGCCTTATAGAATGTTGATTCGCTCTGCTGCACAGTAACACAGATGCAATAATGCATCATAATAATAGACTTAAGCATTGTGTTACATGCTCTCTGCAACAAGAAAATACTGAGTGTAAATGGTCTTTAAATTGTACTTGCTTCAAGTTTTTCAAAACTTTGATAGGGCCCAGGACTTGAACATAAGTGCAGAGAGGTACTGCAGATTGGGATAAAGCCTTATCACAGATTGGGTTAGGACTGGGGGGGGGGAGAGGCCTATTCACACTTGAGGGTTTATCACACCGCTCCAGCATTTGCTTCACTTTTTCACCAAACACCTTGAAACAGTATGCCTTATCAAGAGTTTCCTACAACTCCAAAACCTGCTTTACTCCAACAAACACGGCCACAATTCTTGATACTAAAAAAATGCCTTCGTCAGGAAGCTGAGGCCAAGGTAGCATTTCTGCATCATGAAAAGTGTTTATGTATCTGCCCGTCCAAGGAAGTGCAAATGTCTCCTTATCACATTGATTGATTGATTGATTGATTGTATTTATAACCCGCCTACCTAGTCATTTCAACCACTCTAGGTGGCTTACAACATAAAGCATAACAAGTTCAAGAAAAATTTATAACAATTAATTAATTAAATGATTCTGCAAGATGGGAAAAATGGAAAGACAAATAAAGAGAAAAAAAAGGAAAGAGGTCAGGAATTAACTGGAAGGGAAGGCCTGCCTATACATCCACGTTTTTAGTTGGTTCTTAAAAGTACCCAGCGAGGGTGCAGTGCAAATCTCCGGAGGCAGGTTATTCCAGAGGCGAGGAGCCAATGCCAAGAAGGCCTGGTTTCTTGTCTTTTCCTTCCGGGCCTCCCTCTGCGTCAGGCTCCTCAGCCTCACCTCCTGGCTCGTGCAGGTGACACGGGTAGAACTAGGTGGGAGTAAGCGTTCCACCAAGTATCGAGGCCCTAAACCGTTTAGGGCTTTATATGTAATTATTAACACATTGGTCCTCGAAACAGCGCATTGTCCCCATCCTGCAGATAAATAGACTTGAGGCTGAGAGGAATCAGTGCAATATCATCCTGTAAGGCAGTGGGTAGTGGATTTCTAGGTTCACAGTCAGATAATGTACTGTCCTCTGTATCACCATTTCCTGGAATGTTATTTTTCATTCACCAAAAATGTGAAAACCAAGACTTTGTTTTCTGAAGGAGCTTTATTTTTTTATTTTTTTACTCAACTCAGAAATAACTTAGATTTGGCTTTGAACAGAGACCCTGTAAAAAAACAAAAAGCAAAAGAGCTGCCTCCCCAGTGGTCCCATCTCTGAAGACTACGAAGGGAATAATAGATAAGGAGTGTTATCAGGAATGGCTGAAAGATACCCTGGGTACAAAAAAAAAAAGCTTTGGCACACGAAAAATACAGAGTGAGGATTGGGCGGCCTATAAGAAATGATCGGTGAAGGAGTGTCGGAACGAGGCAGAGAGCACCCTCTGTAAGTTACTGGTGAGACTGATGTGGGGAAAACAGAGGTACGGGTTGTTTCTTAAGACTGTTCTCCTTGGTTTGCACCTCCACCATTCCCCAGCAAGATCCCCACATCATCCAGTGCTTTCTGGAGGCTTTTGGCCAGCTGTTCCGCATCGGTCTCCTGGCAGCAGTTGAAGGCAGTCACGGCAAAGTTAATGTAGGAAGGCAGAGGGTTGTAGCAGACAGCGTAGCCATCGGGTGCCAGTGGCCCATAACACATCACACAATCTGTGCGGGCAGCTACCTGTGTGGGGAAAGGAAATCCGAATCAATGGGAGTACAGTTGTGTCCCGGTTTACAATTGTCCCGCATTACGACGAAACCGCATTACGACGAGGTTTTTGCGATCGCAAAACAATGGTCTGAATAGTTTTTTTTCGCTTTGCGATGATCGGTTCGCTGGAACGAATTAACGTTGTAATGCGAGGCACCACTGTACTTATAGTCATGGAACCACTCCACTGGTAAGGCCCTGTTCCACTCACTCTAGATTCTAAGGAGCGGGATGTGGAGCAGGATCTCCCCAGATGACCTCTGCAATCACAGAGGAAGGCACTTGAGAAGCATTGGGAATCATTCAAAGATGGGCAATGCTAATGTTAGGAAAAGTTGAAGGCAGGAGGAAAAGAGGAAGTCCAAATATGAGATGGATTGATTCTGAATGGAAACCATTGCCTTGAGATTACAAGGCAAATACAGTGTTTTATAAAGGGCTAATTGAATAATTTTTCATTACATAATTTCATCTGATATTTTAATCCAGATTGTTTTGCATGACACTTTTAATTTCATTACTTCACTGCACTGTGTAAGCAATTCATTGATTTTCCTTTGATTACTCTTACATGGTGCCTTGATTCATGGACCTTATTCCCTGTTTTACCTCCTGTGAGTTAAATGAATATTCCAAGTAACTGGATCTGTGAATAGCCTGGGATCATCTCTCGCCCGTTGGGGCAAATACAGAACCTAATTTTTCCCAAGGCAGTTCATGACGGGACATTTTAGAGACCACTCATTTATATGGTTGCCATGGGTTTGAGGAAACTTGAGGGCAAACAACGAAAATTATAATGCAATCTTTAGAGGTGGACAGAACATGTTATCTTGTGATTAAGCCAATTCACTGCTACATGAAACCCAACAAGACTAGCCAGGAAAACTAGAGATCAAGGCAGCCAATACCTGTCCTGTTGAAAGTTTCCAGTAGGAACCAACAGCATAAGAAGTGTCCATAAAAATCTCCGGTACACGGAAGCCGTCAGCAATAGCTTCCAGCTTCAGTGCCAGCAAATGGCGGTCGATGCCCATCCCATTCAGAGCCTGCAAATGGATCAGACAAGAGGACATTTCAGTGTGCTTACTGGAAGAGTTCCTTTCTGCAGTCGCCATTGGGAGACGACGGGAAAAACCTCAATCGTTGCCTAATTCAATTGGTTTTAACATGCTTTCCACCAGAAGGAGGGAGGTCTACCCTTAGGAAGAGTTGCTTTCTGCAGTCGCCATTGGGAGACGACAGGGGAAAAACCTCAACCGTTGCCTAATTCAATTGGTTTTAACATGCTTTCCACCAGAAGGAGGGAGGTCTACCCTTAGATCTTTGTGTCCGAGGCAACTTACACCAGCAAAACAGCGCACAGTCTAACATAATAACGGCCAGTATCCTCTTGCAGAGCTCCGCTGGCAGAATGGAAATGATGTCACTAGAGACAGCACATTGTCACTAATGTCCCTGCTTCAGTTTTGAATTGTACATGACTTGCATACCAAGGAAAGGAAGTCGGCTGCATCTTGTCATTGAAGTGCAACAACGTTTAGGAGGCCACAATTTCCCCATGTGGCTGTGGAGAATCCACTTACCAAGATCTTGCCTTATGTTCTCCAGCTCCATCTTAATTACTACTTGTGATTTTCTCATTCCCAAGTCCATAAAAGAAACAGTCAGAGAGTTGTAGAAGGTCTTTAATGATCTACCATCGCTTCACTCAAAGCTAGACGTTTATCTCGCCTAACAGACAATTATGAGAGTCCATGTAGCGTGCAGTGGGTGAGAGTGGTGGACTAGGTCTCAGAAAACCTGAGTTCAAATCTCCGACTGGCCATGAAAATTCAGGGTGGAGTGTGTGCGCAAGAGTAAAACTACTTCTTAAACATCACACGTACCTTGAAAATCCTATTTGGGTCGCCATAAGTCAGATGCAAGTTGATGGCATTTCTCAACGAAACCATCTATTGCCATGGCTTCATAGGAACGGTCGTATCACTGCCCAGTAGGCTCTACAGAGAGTTCCTCCCAAAGAACTGCATCTCCCATGAAACCCTGCAGCTCCCAGGGAGCACCTGAACAGTTTCTTTCTCTTTTGAAAGCACAACAGAGGCCCACCGGTAGGTAACAGAAAGCAGCTCTGTAAACCTTTGTGTGTGAGCGGGTGGGGTCACCCTGGCTAATTCTGTAAGGTAGAGTCCAAAAAATCTGGCCGGCACATCCCAACGTTCTGGGTTTATTACCCCCAATTTTGTGATCTGGCAAAATTCCCAACCCACTTTCAGCAGAATGAGTGGAAGCCCTAACAACCCTCCCACAGGGTTCCTTGGCAACCAGTGCTTCTTGACGACCGCATATGCTCCTTGGACTAGCCCTTCTGAGGAGGAGATATTTACCTGCTCTGTGAGAGTGCTGTGGACCTCAACTGCTTCTTTCAGCAAAGAGAGTCTTTCAGGGGCCTAACACGGAGAGAAGGAGGAAACAGATCATACGGGGATGAGGGAGGTAGAAATCTAACGCATGGTAGAGGTCTGGCCGTTCTGAGTCTACACAGAAACCAGACTTTGAGAGAGAACGCCTCCAAACTGCTGCCAGTTTGAAGTTGCACCCACGGATACCAAATAGCTTAAGAAAGGGTCCATTTCAGTTCCCATTCATTGGAGGAAATCCTGCTGGCACTGTTGTGCACACATAATGCTGATGAAATGGCCTTCTACTGTTAATCAAAAGTTTATCATTACACAGAAAGAGAGAGAGAGAGAGAGAGGCTTCTGAGGGATCTCTTTCATCCTGGGGGCATTTCTGGGGCCGATGATGATGATTAGTTTTATTTATATGCCGCATTTTTCCCCACAAGGGACCCAAAGTGGCTCACAACATTAAAATTCACACAATTTAAAAACACAGTAAGTTAAATATTAAAAGATAAATTGAACAATCTATGATTTAAAATACAATTAAAAAAATTAAAACATAAAAAAGATTTAAATTATCTGCTAAAATGGGATTAAGTTATAATTGTTAAAAGCCTGCCTGAAGAGATGGGTCCTTAGCTTTTTTCGGAAGGACAACAGGGACGGGGCCATCCTGATCTCCTGAGGGAGAGCGTTCCATAGCCTGGTGGGGCTGCCACAGAGAAGGCCCTCTCCCGTGTCCCCATCCGCTGTGCTTGTGCTGGCAATGGGACCGAGAGGAGGCCCCCTCGGCTGATCTTAATTGCCAAGAAGGCATATATTGGGAGATACGGTCCTTCAGGCAGCCTGGACTAAAGCTGTAAAATAGGGAGAAAGAGGTCTTTAATGTCCAAAAATAGCAGCCCCAGTCACGGCATCGGGACTAGGTGTGCAAAAGGAATTTCTACTGTTGGGTTTTAACCTCCCTTGTTAGTTTTTCTTCTAGAACTGTATTCCAAGCACATTGATACCAGAATTAAGTGAGATCCTCCATTTGTTTCCCAATTTTTTTGGTCTATTTTTGTTGTAGTTCTGCTCTAACAGTTAAGAAATCCCTCCTGATATTCATTTGTTTCTTTTTTGGTCTATTTTTGTTGTAGTTCTGCTCTAACAGTTAAGAAATCCCTCCTGATATTCAACCTAAATCTGGCCTCCTCTAGCTTGAGCCAATGATTACATGTCCTGCCCTGCACGATGACAGAGAACAAATCCTGTCCCTCTTCTCTATGACTACCTTTCAAGTATTTGAAATGTGCTATCATATTTCCCCTCAGTCTTATTTTCTCAAGGCTAAACACCTTTCCTCCTAAGGCTTGGTTTCCAGCTCCCTGATCATCCTTGTTTCCCCTCCACTGAACTTGCTCCAGTTTGTTGGCATCCTTCTTGAAGTGCGATGTCCAGAACTGGACACAGTATTTTAGATGGGGCCTAACCACTGCTGAAAGGAGATAAGACCTAGGTCAAGTGATTCAAACTAGAAGAAAGGAGATTTCATGCTAAACATTAGAAAGGATTTCCTATCAGCAAGAGCTGTTCAGCAGTGGAAATGGACAACATGAGAAGGGAATGGAGCTCCTGTCATTGGAGGTTTTTAAACATAAGATTGGATGACTCTCTGACAGGGATGGTTCAGCTGTGGATTTTCTATAAAGCAAAACAAAAGCATGCTGCTTATATATTGGTGCATAGCGCTTAAAGCATTCTCTGGGCGGTTCACAAGTCAATTATGCAGGCTACATAATTATTAATGTTTACATATAAGGCCCTAAACGGTTTAGGACCTTGATACTTGACAGAACGCCTGTTTCCACCTAGATCTACTCAGATCACCCGCACGAGCCAGGAGGTGAGGCTGAGGAGCCTAACGACGAGGGAGGCCCGGAAAGAAAGGACACGCTGTGGACCTCAACTGCTTCTTTCAGCAAAGAGAGTCTTTCAGGGGCCTAACACGGAGAGAAGGAGGAAACAGATCATACGGGGATGAGGGAGGTAGAAATCTAACGCATGGTAGAGGTCTGGCCGTTCTGAGTCTACACAGAAACCAGACTTTGAGAGAGAACGCCTCCAAACTGCTGCCAGTTTGAAGTTGCACCCACGGATACCAAATAGCTTAAGAAAGGGTCCATTTCAGTTCCCATTCATTGGAGGAAATCCTGCTGGCACTGTTGTGCACACATAATGCTGATGAAATGGCCTTCTACTGTTAATCAAAAGTTTATCATTACACAGAAAGAGAGAGAGAGAGAGAGAGGCTTCTGAGGGATCTCTTTCATCCTGGGGGCATTTCTGGGGCCGATGATGATGATTAGTTTTATTTATATGCCGCATTTTTCCCCACAAGGGACCCAAAGTGGCTCACAACATTAAAATTCACACAATTTAAAAACACAGTAAGTTAAATATTAAAAGATAAATTGAACAATCTAGGATTTAAAATACAATTAAAAGATTAAAACATAAAAAAGATTTAAATTATCTGCTAAAATGGGATTAAGTTATAATTGTTAAAAGCCTGCCTGAAGAGATGGGTCCTTAGGTTTTTTCGGAAGGACAACAGGGACGGGGCCATCCTGATCTCCCGAGGGAGAGCATTCCATAGCCTGGGGGGGCTGCCACCAAGAAGGCCCTCTCCCGTGTCCCCATCCGCTGTGCTTGTGCTGGCAATGGGACCGAGAGGAGGCCCCCTCGGCTGATCTTAATTGCCAAGAAGGCATATATTGGGAGATACGGTCCTTCAGGCAGCCTGGACTAAAGCTGTAAAATAGGGAGAAAGAGGTCTTTAATGTCCAAAAATAGCAGCCCCAGTCACGGCATCGGGACTAGGTGTGCAAAAGGAATTTCTACTGTTGGGTTTTAACCTCCCTTGTTAGTTTTTCTTCTAGAACTGTATTCCAAGCACATTGATACCAGAATTAAGTGAGATCCTCCATTTGTTTCCCAATTTTTTTGGTCTATTTTTGTTGTAGTTCTGCTCTAACAGTTAAGAAATCCCTCCTGATATTCAACCTAAATCTGGCCTCCTCTAGCTTGAGCCAATGATTACATGTCCTGCACTCTGGGATGACAGAGAACAAATCCTGTCCCTCTTCTCTATGACTACCTTTCAAGTATTTGAAATGTGCTATCATATTTCCCCTCAGTCTTATTTTCTCAAGGCTAAACACCTTTCCTCCTAAGGCTTGGTTTCCAGCTCCCTGATCATCCTTGTTTCCCCTCCACTGAACTTGCTCCAGTTTGTTGGCATCCTTCTTGAAGTGCGATGTCCAGAACTGGACACAGTATTTTAGATGGGGCCTAACCACTGCTGAAAGGAGATAAGACCTAGGTCAAGTGATTCAAACTAGAAGAAAGGAGATTTCATGCTAAACATTAGAAAGGATTTCCTATCAGCAAGAGCTGTTCAGCAGTGGAAATGGACAACATGAGAAGGGAATGGAGCTCCTGTCATTGGAGGTTTTTAAACATAAGATTGGATGACTCTCTGACAGGGATGGTTCAGCTGTGGATTTTCTATAAAGCAAAACAAAAGCATGCTGCTTATATATTGGTGCATAGCGCTTAAAGCATTCTCTGGGCGGTTCACAAGTCAATTATGCAGGCTACATAATTATTAATGTTTACATATAAGGCCCTAAACGGTTTAGGACCTTGATACTTGACAGAACGCCTGTTTCCACCTAGATCTACTCAGATCACCCGCACGAGCCAGGAGGTGAGGCTGAGGAGCCTAACGACGAGGGAGGCCCGGAAAGAAAGGACACGAACCCGGGCCTTCTCGGCGGTGGCTCCTCGCCTCTGGAACAATCTCCCTCCTGAGATCGGCGCGGCCCCCACTTTGGACACTTTTAAAAGTCAATTAAAAACATGGCTATACATTCAGGCCTTCCCTCCAGTTAATGTCTGACTTTTCTGTTTATTCTCTCCTTATGTACAGTGGTGCCT